AAAGTGGAGACGCGTTTTCATTTCAAATGCTCTCGCCCTTCGGCAGGCACATGATCAGAAATAATGTCAATACATGGATGCTGGGAGATCCGCACATTTGGATCTGGTTCTAACAATAGGATTGGGCAGACAGTCACCATTCAGCTTAGACTGGATTCATATTTCTTTGCTCCTCATTAATATCGGTTGCAATTTAATCGATTATGGAGATTGTTTATTAGTCACTCTCGAAAGAAGCGTGATTTTATATTATTCCAAAAGCGGGTACCGAGTTAGGTGTCTTCAGAAGTGGTTGTATAAACCTAACATTCAGCCATTATTTTTCCAAAGGCCGTTACCACGTAGAACAGATTCTCCGAGAGAATGCTTCCCTGAACACTACAATCTTAACCTATTCAACACGAATCCTTTTTTTGTGTGTTTCTTGCAATGGTCGATGTCAATACTTAACTCGGGACTTGTAACCTTCAACTAACTATATATATATATATATATATATATATATATATATATATATATATATATATATATATATATATTTCCAACAATAATATGTGGCTGTTTATTAGTTCGGAAATTATTCTTCTAATTTTTAAACTTAGCTTATTCTATTTTAGTGTTACAAAATTATATAGAGCTGACAGTGAATTAATCAAATAGATTGAATATTCCTCTTAGACGAGCAATCTAAACCCCGGAATGGTTTTATATAATAACGCAGTCATATCTGTGAATACCAAATGAATTCATTCATTTTTTACGGCTTATCAATCCTTTGCAAAAAACTGTAACTAAGATCCGCTCAACATAATAAACCACAGGTGTGGTGCTCTGTGGGTGTTGAATAAACACAAATGTGCCTGAGCAGGCGTCTACAACAGGAATTGGCTAGCCACCCTGATAGACAAGCATACTCGGATACGAGTGGCAAGCTATTATTTCCAAGTGGTCACCCATTTACGTATTGACTATGCAAGACATTGCTTAACTTCAGGAACTGTTGTTTAAACGTGATATGGTCGTAAACCAAATACTAAATAGGGGATATCAATAATGAACTCTGTGTTGAAAGGATTGATTCTTCTTCATATATATATATATATATATATATATATATATATATATATATATATATATATATATGTGTGTGTGTGTGTGTGTGTGTGTGTGTGTGTGCGCGCTATCCCTTCAGAATGTGGACGATCATAGCCCTCCACAACTTCCTATCCGTTGTAGCTCTTATTAAGTTTTGGCGCTTCACTTCTTCTACCTGCTCTGCTAACCAAATTTATTAGGTAGATTATTTTCTGTTGCCTTCAGTATGCTTTATGAGTGTTACATTCCCTAAGCATTCTTTCCTCATTATGTGTACTAGAAATTTCAACTGTCACTTTCTGAGTCTAAGAGTTCTTTTTGTTTCTATTATCCTTGAAACTTTCCTGTTATACACATGTTCAGTCCATGATATTCTCAGCATCCTTCTGTCGAATTACATTTCTGTTGCCTCAAGTAATTCTCCATAGTTTTCTTTTTTAAACCACTGATTATTATTTTAATAAATGCACAAAACCGCAAATTATTTGTAAGATACTAAAGTATTTCAGCTGTATTTTTGACAGACTTTGCCTGCTTTTCCATAATATTCCATGAGTCAAGACGAATATTATTCACCAAATTTATTTCAATCATTACTAAAAATATGGTTGTTCACTTCTTAGAATAGGAACTTTAGTTTTAATTTGTACTGTCGATATGCAATCAGTTCCAGATGTATCGACTATTGAAACTGATATGATTTTATCATATAAGTGTAATGAACAGATTCTTATATATAAGCCAAAATAACTCAATAACTTTCGAAGCTCGAAAGTCGCCGGTTCAAGCCTGAGTTTCTGCATAGATATAGAATCTTCTTTCAGGTAAATCAAAAGACAAACGTTATTAAGGGCTACAAAGGATAGGAAGTTGTGGAGAGCTATGCTACTTTTTTTTTATTACATTTTTAAAGCCAGAATATTTTGATTGCATAAATCTTTCAAGTTTTAAAAAATGCATTTTCATTGTAAAATATCCTGTTTCGGCTTTTATTTTGGAACCTTTTTTTAATGTTATTTTTTTCTTTTTCATTTTCAGAGTGAATTTCATGTAAGTACTGATTTCTTTTTTCATTATAATTACCATCGTTGTTCACCTTCACCGATATCAATATTTTTTATCATTGATATTTAATCCAATTCTCGCTGCCACAATATCTTAATTGTTTTTTTTTTATATTAGAATCTATTTTAGCACATAAACATTAATTTTAATTTATATCCATATTTGAATAGACGTTCCGTTTGTTTATTAAACAGTATATTTTTTTCTACCGGCCTGAATATTACAGAAATCTTATTAAAGAAAAATATGTGTTCTTTGGCAACGACGGTTTCTCCTGCAAAGGGGGACGCGGGTTTGGATCTTGTAGGAGAATACATTAATTTCTTTCATAAGATTACTCGAATATTTAGGCCGGTAGACGGAAATAAATATACTGTATAATAAATAAACGGAACGTCTACTCAAATATGGGTATCCACTACAAATAACTTTTAGGTGATATTATCGGTCGGAATAATAAATAAAAATCTGTTACTTCTTTAGAAATTGACTTGAATCTATATAAACATTTCTTATCACCACCAAACAATACTTCATCCTTATATAAATAATTGCTAAATTTCTCTTCTATATCGGGTCGAAGCCTATTTCATACGCCATATTCCGCTTTCTTTCCATATTGTTAATTCTTTATTTCAGTTCATATTGTTAATTTTTTTAATTTTCTTCCTATTTTAAGAATTTCATGTTTTTCTTATTAACATTTAATCTCTGTTATCATTGCCACTCAGCTATTGTTCTATTTATTCTGGTGCAGGAGGAAATTTTCTCCAACATAATGAGGGCTCTGTTAGAAAAACGAGATAGATTTGAAAAAAGAAACTTTGTCCAGCTTCCTCAAAGACAAGGATCCAACAGACGACGCAACAGCAATGATCTGGAATATTCCGACTACTAACAGACTGGTAATTCTTTCTTTTAATCCACCTTCCGCATTTGACTAAATGAAACGATTGTATTAAGAATGAAGACTAATTTTTCAGTTATTACTTAACGTACTTTTTTATCATAGAAAATCCAAAAGAAATCGATATTTTTTAGATTTCTTTGGATGAAATTTGGATGAAATTATATCCAATTTTTGTTCATGTACGAAAAGTGTTCTTATTTATGGAAATGGAGTTAACAAAAAGAAACTTAATAATCAATATTTCCCCTTGTTTATATAGTTTATATATTGTTTAAATTAGTAAATAAAGAAAGCGTTTCCTTTCAAAATAAAGTGAAAATAAATGAAATGGAGAACATTGTTAGAAATAGAATTATTATATTATAATATTATTATATTATAATATTATTATAGAATAATATTATTATATTATAATATTATTATAGAATAATATTATTAGAAATAATCCATCTGAGTCTTTGTTGAATGACATACAGGGAATTAACCCCGATTAAACTTTTCCTTCGTTTAAACTACATTCATATCCTGCTAAATATTAATAAATACATCTAAGATACTCTAAATATAAATATATTTCTCTGAATATAATTAATAACCATTTAATTTTTAATTTAAATTTCTTGTTTTGTCATATAAAAAGCTTATAAAAACTTTTCTGCTAATTTGGAAATTTATAAAAATGTTCTCTTTTAATATTATTTACAAATAATTTGTTGAATGAAATATGTCAGAATTGAAAATTTGGCCCGTTGACAGAAACAAACGGGATTGTTTCAGATTTACACTTTAAGCCCATCATCAAATGATATACTGAGGTCAATATGTCAAAATAGGACAACGCTCTCTGCCTTTTCCCCCGTCCCACTCTCTAAAGAAGATAGCAGTGTCTCTTGTTTTTAACCCGGAATATTTTTTTCCATTTCATTTGTGATTTGTTTGTAGGTCTTGAAAATTGAGAGCTGCTGAGTTTTTAGAGCTCTCATGAAATAATAAAAAAAAAATTATTACCTATGGGATTTTAAGTTTGATATTTTTTAATTAATAATAATTTTGCTCTGTGTTTTGAGATAGAGCTCTCCCTGGATCTGTATCCTCCTGAAAATTCCATACACATTACCATATTGTATCATTACCATATATATATATATATATATATATATATATATATATATATATATATATATATATATATATATATATATATACACACTACAGTTCAAAAGTTTCAATCTAATGCCAGATTTAGCATGGGATGAACTTGACAGAAGACTGAAAAAAATGAAAAAAAAGTTTCTTAGAGTCATCGAAAAAAGAATGGCATCAGTTATCAAACTTATCCTTTAGAAACTTTTGCAGCGAATGACAAAAGTTTGTACTGCAATAATCAAGGCTAAAGGAGGATATTTTAATCATAAAAACGCTTTTTTTGGCATAATAAAATTTCTAATAAAAAATCATGCCTCACTTTTTTAACCATGTATAATAATTTCCTCTTATTTAAGGTACAAATTTTAGGGTCAATTTAAAAAATTACTAGGGGTGTCTTCAAACTTTTGAATTACACATACATATATATGTGTGTGTGTGTGTGAGTGTAATTGCTGACAGAATTAATGTTATAGAAGGTGCTACCTTCGTTCTTTAGATATATAAATATTTTCTATGTATAATACTATAAAACGAAGTGGTAATCTTTAGATATATGTTTCTGTCATAAGGATATCCAATGAAGATAAGGAGGGCAATAACCTCAAGAAAGCATTTTCAGTGGTCAAATCTGTAAGTTAATCTGTGGTCAAATCTGTAAGTTAATTTTAAACAGTTTTTCCAATGTAATTTTAAACTCTTATATATAATGCAGAAAACAAATTTTTCATAAATCTTGAACAATTTAAAATTTATGTTGAAATTTATTTAGCTAATAACAAAAATGTTATCTATCTATCTATCTATCTATCTATCTATCTATCTATCTATCTATCTCTCTATCTATCTATGTGTATATATATAATGTATACTATATATATATATATATATATATATATATCTGTTTAACACACACACACAGATACACACACACACACACACATATATATATATATATATATATATATATATATATATATAAGTGGGCATTGAAGTCAACACTCAGAAGCCACAGTCTGTTTCATGCTAAATGCTGACGGCCTGACGATTGCAATTAACATGAAACAGACTGTCGCCTGTTGGTGTTGACTTCAATGTCCAATTTTATACTTACATAGGCTCTATCTCTGATATTGAGCGCTTTAACCCATACATAAAGCATATCTTAAATCTTTATTTTATTATTTGTATATATATATATATATATATATATATATATATATAAATAAATATAAATAGGTGATTCACATAGGTAATATATTCATATTATTCCCTTTTCTAATAAAATCATTAGGCGGAAAATATAAGCAGGTAATCAGTTTAATTTATTCTTTTACTATTGAAACGTAGAACAGCCTTAACCATATGGCTCTACTCGCATAACTAAATCAAATAAGATGTTTATCAGATACGTGAGAACAAATGAAATTATGTTTAGAATCTATGAGATTGTAATATTTGCCTCCATTGTCCCTGTCATAAGGATATCCAATGAAGATAAGGAGGGCAATAACCTCAAGAAAGCATTTTTAGTTGTGAATCAGTCTTCGATCTATTCTGGTCGAAACATTAATTTCAGTTTTGTGGACTGAAGGAGTGTAAATTAAATCGTTGGTTTCACACTTCGATTAAAATTGCTGATGACATTTTCACAATTTCTTTTAAAACCATGATGACCTCAGCTTAAAACAATTCCGGCTTTAGCTTGAATTCAAATGTTTCTAGTAGTTTATCATCGTAATGAATAGTTACCATCAGTTCTTTAAAGGGTATTGTATTACAGTTTTCTTCCCTTACCGGGAAAAGTAAGCAAGTTACTTTAGACTAAACGGATAGGATCTGCTCTATCGATCAATAAGGCAAAAATCACTTCGCCTGGTATAAAAATCACGCGATTTCTGTAATGCCATGTAAGGCTTCATGATTCAAATATTGGCTGGGCATCTTCAAGATAACGTAGTATTCTTAATTCATGGGTATTAACTAAACCGTCAAAGTGGTGATTACAAGTAGCTGCTGATTATTTCATCGTGATCTGAATTGCGGCCGCAAACTGGACACACATGACATTTGTGCATATCGATTTGCCGGACGCTGATTATTGACTCTAAAGTTGAACGCATTTCATGAAAATAGTGACTACTTTTATGATGAAATTGAAATGCATGGTTCGCTTCAAAAGACACTGTGCACAGTAATCTGGAAAACAGTGACTCAACTGATACAGTGATAATAACAGTAGATTGAAATAAGTGTCTCTTTTTACTTTCCACTTGATATCCACACATAGCATTTTATTTCGACCATTTACTTGTGAAATAAAGGTGGGGCATTTGCCGACAGAATTAACGTTATAGAAGGTACTACCTTCGTTCTTTAGATATATAAATATTTCTATGTATAATACTATAAAACGAAGTGATAATCCTTATTAGCATAAAATGACTAATAGTAATGTGTATAGTTATAAAAATAATGTCAGATGAAAAAATAAATTCATTATATATATATATATATATATATAGATATCTATCTATCTATCTATCTATCTATCTATCTATATATATATATATATATATATATATATATATATAAATATAAATAACTAGACTCGTTTCGAAAAACCCTCGAATTTTTGATTTGTTAATCAAATCAATTTCGAGGGAAAAAAAGGTTTTAAAAAAAGAAAGAGCTACAAACATAAACTTCTGCCGACAAAAAATCGCACAAATGCAGGTCTGAAGCCCAAAGAAAAAACCCCGATACGAGTAACAACTAACTAACAAAAGAGCTCAATACAATCGTAGAGCAAACCTAGATACACCTAGTGAGCCAGACAAACCTACCTAGGTTTCACCTAAACGGATCGTCAGGGAAAGCTATATATATATATATAGATAGATAGATGTATATACACGTATATATACACAAAGAGAGAAACCAAGACACATGCATATCTATCTATCTATCTATCTATCTATCTATCTATCTATCTATCTATCTATCTATGTGTGTGTGTGTATATCAAGGATTCCTCGATTAATGCGCATTCGATTAATGCGTTTTCAATTTGTATTAGTGCGTTGTTAAAATTTGTATATACCAAAATTCATACATAATACTCGATTACAGCGGTAAAATATTCTTCAGTTTAAAATTGATTTTTTTACAGTTACCGATGTACAGATTAGCCGCACTAATCGAGATTATATTTATCGATACAAATATTTAAGTAAATGCTCTGTTTATAATAAGCAGTATTCAATGGTAAATGTTGTTAATACTGTTTATTATAAACTGATCATTTACTTAAATAACTGTATCTATAAAAATAACGTATAAGCAGAAAATATATTAAATTAATGATGCCATTTGTTTATGTTAAGATACGCTTCAAGCAAATATGAGCATCCGAGAGAATTCATGGGAAATTTGTAGTTTAAAAACAGTAATTCGATCTTGTTAACCACACGCTTCCTCTGTAGCTAAGTGGAATTGCACAACAGGTGATATGACGGTTCCGTGAAGGATGCAGGTTCGATTCCTGTTGGAGGACATATTTTCTATGAAATTTCTCGGACTTTCAGGGCAGTAAATGTTGTTAATTTTTTTTTTTATAAACAGATCATTTACTTAAATATTTATATCTATAAAAATTGTATAAACAGAAAATATATATATATATAAGAGTGCGGATAAGTTTTTACTTTCTTCGGATATATGTGTGTGCGCGTGCATGTATATATTCCTCAACTATGTATATTTCTCAACTTTTGTATATTTATGTCTAATATATCTAAATATATATTAGACAGTAATATATATATATATATATATATATATATATATATATATATATATATATATATATATATATATATATTAGTGATACATATATATGTGCGCGCGCACCACATGTCAGTTTTATTATTCAATTAAATCATTTCCCAACAAAATCGGTATTAACCAATGAATATTGATAATTTTTCCAGGATATACATAGTCGAGTAATATATGTTGAGACTTTCACATTACAATAGCTATCTTTATTTTTTTTTTTAAATATTTTATTACAATTTATATTCATTAAATTCATATATTTCATTAACACACTATCACATGTAGCAGAATAAATTAGTAGTTTGCTATTTTACATGTTAGTATTGTCCACTTGTACTTTTGTTATTTGTATCAGTCTTTAATTTATTGGTATTCTCTCTTTTTCTACTATTTCGATTTCAGCATTACTTGCATCAGTATTGATTGTTTCTAATATAAATTCTTGGCTTTTATATTGTTTTACAGTCCTAAGTATTAACGGTTTCAAAATGAAACTAGTATGCTTTAATAATCATAGTGAATTAGTTATGCCCTCTATCAACATGGCTGATGCTAAACTCCAGAAGAAAAACTAGCGTTGCAAATTTTTGCTCTCACGTTTTCTAATGAATTGAAAATAATAAAATAAAAGTTTTCAATTGTATTCAAATTTGGAAAAACTGCCCATTCTATTAATTTGGTTTCTTTGCTGAGAAATCATTTTTTATTTTCGTTTTCAGCCAACGTTTTTTCATGATGTTTATTTAAGGTGGTAGTTTTTTAAACCTTAATATATCTTTATCCATTGTTTTTTTTTTTTAAATATCCTGAATCTTTTTTACATTCACAATGTCAACTTGACAATGTTTTCAATTTACTCTTTTTATTGTTCTGTGATCTTGATTCAAACCTTTCGCAATTTGCAATGCTGTACTACTATCAATCAGTAACTATACAATATATGCTTTCTATTCTTTGGTTATATATTTCTCATGATATACTGGCTGTCTATAAAGTTTCTAAAAGCAAATGAACAGACAAATATGTGAAAATTTTTACAAAATGAGGAATAGACATTGAAGTTTTTAACTAATTTAATACAGCTCTATATCGGCACCATTAATTGCACGAAAGACATCAAGACGGCACTCGATTTCTTGCCATGTTCGTTGTAGCATAGTCTGATCAATAGTAGCAATAGCATCAGTGATCTTTTGCTTTACATCAGTGATACCACGTATCTTTGTTCGATACACGATGTCTTTAACATGACCCTATAGAAAGAAGTCCTGTGGAGAGATATCTGGTGAACGAGGTTTCCAAGAAATCGGATCATCCCCTCCAATCCAACGGTCTGGAAATGTTTGATTTAGGAAACTACGAACATGCAGTGCACAATGTTTCTTGCTCGAAAATGTTGGTTGGTTGAAGGTCATCTCGTTGTGGTGCCACACTAATTGCCTTTGCAATATATTTTTGTAAATTGTGAAGTGACTTTATGGACACCCTGTATACCAATCTTTATATAGGTCAAATTAAAAATAAATTACTAATAACGATTGTGTTAGTTATATTTATTTACAAAGTGCCGAGCAACCTTAGGGATGTATAATAAAATCTCCCATCACCAAATAAACTGTAAGTATTTCTAATATAAATGTTAACATATAAGTATATATTGAAAATTTTATCAACTTTAGTTGATTAATGCCAATTACTTGTATAATAAAAACTGAAAATTATATATATATATATATATATATATATATATATATATATATATATATACATGATGACATGTAGTTTTAAGGTATGCTATATTTATGGGTTAAAGTGGTCAATATCAGGGATAGAACGTTTATAAATATAAAAGTGGACATTGAAGTTGACACCCAGAGGTGGCAGTCAGTTTCATGCTAATATATTTTGATTCATATGTAGCTTATACACACACACACACACACACATATATATATATATATATATATATATATATATATATAATACTGCACATAAGTAAGCGAACCTCTAAGATAATATTTAAAAAAAATATTCATTTTTCCAGATAATTAACAAATCTTAATTAAACTATATATTCATTATGAAAAACCTTTATTAAATGAATTATATATACCAAACACCATAGACCAGATAACATTTATTAATTTCACCATCAAAATACCACATCTCACTTCTTACCTATTCTGCTAGAGGGACAGCAAGAGAAAGAAAGAAAGAAAGAAAGAAAGAAACTTATATAGATTTAAACAAACTGTAAAAAAATTATAATTCCTTCACATAAAATGATCTCCTTGGTATTCTGTAACCTTAATTTTTCAACCATTGATTTAAGCTTTCAACTTTCACATTGCTTAAAACAGTTTTATTGCTTCCTGGAGTTCTTCTATGCTTGAATATTGTTTTATTGCTTCCCGGAGGTATTCTTTGCGTGAATATTGTGTTATTGCTTCCTGGAGTCCTTTTTTTACTTTTATGAATATTGTTTTCTATTCTCATATAAATATCGTATTTGTTCCATCAGTTTTCTATTACATTAATACATGAATAGGTGAGGAATCATTCTATTAATTTCTTTTAGATATGTTTTAGATAGACATATAGATAACTATTTTGGTGTTATAGATAGACATATACATAGCTATTTTGGTGTGATAGATAGATAGATAGATAGATAGATAGGCAGACAGGTAAGCAAATTCACAAAGTCGGCAATAAAGAAACATGGACTATCACCAGATGCCTCAAAATTCATAGTTCAATTTTAATACCATTTTTATTCTCCTATATTTTCTTACGGTTTCTGTTTAAATTTTCTTCTCTTTTTATCGACAGAATAAAAACAGTAGTAATAATTCTGCAGTCATTTTGTCGCCGCTTATGTTTTATCTTGTTTTTTTTTTTATTATTTATTTACAGCTCCGGTTCTTGGTTGAGTCTGCCAAAGCGCCATCAATGACTGACAGCCGATTGCTCCTGCCTCCACCTTCCCTACGCCTGATGTTGGTCTCGTGTCTCGCGTTTTATTTTTATTTTTAGCCCAACAGTGCTGAGGACAGCACCTGAAGTGCAAGTATCCGCACTACGTGTCCTTGATCGGTTAGCCACTCGATACAGCCACGACAAGAAAGATTAATTTATCTCTTTCTCTACTTTCTCCGAAATTAGATGTATAGTTTTAAATTAACATTTAAAAGGATTATGAAAATTTACAAAAAAAAAACAAATTAAGAAAAATAATTCCAACCATAAAATCGAGACTAAGAAATCTGTTATATTTTACCAAATTTCTGTACATGGAATTTACCATTAAATAATTTGATTCTTTTATCCAAAGGGATTATTATTATTATTATTATTATTATTATTATTATTATTATTATTATTATTATTACATAATTTTAATTACAGAATTATTTTATAATAAAGAAAATTATCACATGATTATTATGTGAATAAAGAAAAAAATATAAATAAAACAGACTCAACTATATATTTAAAAAATAGTAAGTATTATATCTTACTACTTGTTCTGCATATAAAATTAAAAAAAAACAGATCAAAATTTACTTGAGATATCATGCTTTTAGAGTTCATTAAACTACCAGACAAAAACCAAAAGGTCTTAATTTTTAAATTAAAAAAAAATTATTACTGTAAGTACTCAATCTTTAGTTCTAATGCGCCAACCAATATTTTGTTTTCCCCCAAAACATGAAACAAAGAGATAAAAATGAAATCTATATTCGGAAAGAGGTTAATTTGTCTCTCATCAAAACGGACTTCCAGTTTTAAAAAAATATGAATCGGAATTTTCTCATCTCCTCTTAATAGGAAAAGAGGACTGTGTACTCGAACGCTAGCCGCCAGGTCACATGGCCACAAGGCCGATGGATACTGTACTCTGATCACAACATTATGATAATAAATCTATCTTCATAAGACGCCTTCGTTGTTTCTTTATGTTTCTTGACTTTGTTGGTGAATGTCTTTGAAAATCCATGAAAAATTTAACAGCTTTGAAATGTTCATAAAAATTAAACTGAATCGTTTCATCACTAACGTTTATTATTTATTGTTGCTCAAACGAGTGAAGAGCAAGTCCGCAGGCTAACACATGAATTTTGATATGAAAGTTTAATGTTTGATCTACGAAAATATTGAGTTAAGTGCAATGACAAGGAGGGAGATTATGTTGAAAAATAAATATTTCTGGTTCAAAATAAATGCTTTTTCGTAATTTGGCTACAGATTTACTGATTTTTCTACATATTTAAAGTTTAAATTTAATATTTGCCATATTTCCCACCATATAACGCGCACTTTAAAAGAAAGAAGTTTATAGACGGATAATTGGATAATCAGTAATAGACAAATACCTAAATATCCGTTTGATACACGAATCCTCTGATGATTCCAGAATTAAATAAAAATTATTACAAATTATTAAAAATTTGATTCAAAATCAAAATAATGCTAAATATCTAAGAAATGATACATACCGCATATACTCATGTCTAAGCCGACTTCATGCACTGTGCGACTCCTGAAAATTTTGCATGAATTTAAACTCCTCCAGAAAGAAAGATTACTTGTATAAAATGTATAAGGTTAAACGCTTCAAGAAAATTACTTGTGTATAGTTCGACCCCCTATTTGTGTGTCAAAAACTGATCAAGAAAACTCGCTCGAAACTCGAATATATACTGTTAGTATGAATGAATCACCTACTTATTATTATTATTATTATTATTATTATTGTTTCCTTTGATTTCTCTTGTATCCACATTTCTTTCCGTGTCCCAACCAGAGACTTAAGGTCAGAGGACAGAAATGGCTTCATGACATCTTCCCCTGATCATTTTTTATAAAAAAAACCCCAAAACTAAAATCCCACACATTTTACATAGATAAAGCTCTTCGTAATGTGTGAGATGTACTTTTTAGTACAATTTTTTGTATTTCTTTAAGGTATAGGCTAATAAGAATCCCTTCAATTATTCTATTGGAACCTTTTCAACTAATCCGAGGGTTCCAACTATTGATATCCTCATGTGCCACATTTTTCTTAGTTTCCCACTTCAAGATTCTTTTATTTTAATAATTTTTGAAGATCTTCAAAAATCCATTACAATCTGCGCGAACTGCCATATCCATAAGAAAGCACATTTTGATTTTGTGGTCAATCTTTAGTTCTAATGCGCCAACCAATATTTTGTTTTTCCCCAAAACATGAAACAAAGAGATAAAAATGAAATCTATATTCGGAAAGAGGTTAATTTGTCTCTCATCAAAACGGACTTCCAGTTTAAAAAAAATATGAATCGGAATTTTCTCATCTCCTCTTAATAGGAAAAGAGGACTGATACATCCTAATGCTAATCACCCAGACATTTTGATCAAAATCAAAATGTCTGGGTGATTAGCATTGATTTTTTTGTCTGTGTGTATTGTAAAGTTCCATAAAATTGTTACAGGTCATGTCTCTGTAACCGGGTTTGAATGATGTTCATACCAGTTTCTTGCAGTTTCCTTCTCATAAAAGTTGCATATTTTTCAGTGCCGAATCGGCGCCTCCTCTATCATATCAAGTTTTATATTCAGTTGTTGCTAACACTGTTCAATCTGATACAAGATGGCCAATTGTTTCTGGATATTTATCACAAAATCTGCATTTGGTTACCAACACAATTCTTTTAGTATGTCTGCTTCGTAAATTCAAGTCAGCAAGCATCGGTCCTGTGCAGCAAGAATAAAACCTACGGTTTCAGCTTTCAACCGTGAACTTTGTAACCACTGATGGGGTACGCCGTTTGGTTACATCAGCTTGTTTAGTACGGGAAGAATATTGACCATAAAGAGGCTTATCGTTTATTTAGTACACTCCGTTTGCTTTATTATTATTATTATTATTATTCCTAAATATTCCTTCCTATCTTAGAGGTGCATGTTAAGCGTCGTTGCGTGTTATATGATAGGAAATATAGTATTCATAAATTATATATGATTTATATGTCACGGAAATGCAACAGCAATAGGAATAATGATCACATTAAAATATTTTTGTATATTTGCGTGACAATGAAAAACCAGTTTAATGGAATAGAAAAAGATTTGTAAAGAGTTTTCTTTTCACGCTGAATGGACAAAATCTTATTACATTCATAAATTTCATGTATTTCTTTCCAAACAAGTTGACGACGACGCAAAGACCGTTGATAGTATATGTTAATCAGTATGACAAATACGTGCTGAAGAAACCATTTTACTTCATGTTTCGCTTATATCTGAATTTCTAGAATAAAGAATCATTATTATTTGCATCATTTATATAGAGACAATATTCTAGAGGATCAAGTGGTATTTGTTGCAAAGTAATTGCGAGTTCGATTCCTGGGCCGAATAACGCAGACTCAGTGGAAACAAGGCTAACAATGATAATTGAACAGTACTAAAAAAATAAAATTATATGTAAAACTATTTATTCCCGTAGCGAATTGCAAATTGGAAGTGTAGAAAATTTAAATATCTGGGAAGTGTTTTAACAGAGAACGGAAAGAGCGACACTGAAATCCGAAGGCATATTGGGATAGCCAAGGAAGCATTCCAAAGACTAAGCAGAGTACTAAGAAATAGTAAAATAGTAAAAGGAAAAGACTACTAAATCTGTCCTCCTGTATGGTAGTGGGTGCTGGACAGTCTTGTCAGAGAGGAAGAGGACACTTGAATCAGCAGAAATGTGGTACACAGACGGATGCTTAGATACCGTGGACCGAACATGTAAGTTCGACGAAGTTTTGGAGAAAATGAAAAAAAAAAAAAAAGAAAAAAAGAAACTAATAATTAATATCAGGAAGAGACAGTTGAAGTTTCTGTGGCATATAATGAGGGAGGTGGGCTTGAAAAATCTGATACTCATAGGACGGATTGAGGACAAGAGGGGCAGAGGAAAACAACGCATAACATAGTGAAATTGAGTAAATGGATGACGGAACAGGGCTTAGGCGAAATAACAGAGAGACAAAATTTATTAAGAGCTACAAGGGACATGAAGTTGTGGAGAGCTGTGATCGCCTACGTTCTCAGGAGACACGACCCATAAAGTAGATTAAATGAAGGGCTCAGTTTCAAATTTTCTGAAGGTTACTCGTATTGACAAGCACCAAAAGAAGGCTGAAGGGTATAATGTTGTAGTAATAGCATCAAAGATGAGGATATTAGTCCTAATGTAAATAGCTGTGTTTATTTGCACATTTGTAAAATACACTACTATCTCATCCAGCATGGAAGCTCACTTTTATTTAGTACTAGACTACCCGTGACCCGTTGGGTAACTGACTGTTCAGGTTATAGAACACTGAAGTTGATTTTAACATACCATTCAAATTAAAGTTAATTTTATTCTGATTCAGTTAGATATTTCACTTCGTTCGTGTCATCATTGGTCTCGTTTATAAGTTCATGTTTAATTTTTTACTGACTGTTTACATCATTTAATAGGAAGGGAACTTCTGGGATAAACTTGATCTTTAAATCATATTAACTTAAAATATTTTTTAATATACCAAAAAATATTTTAAAGTCATATTCGCTTGAACATATTTTTAAATATGCCAAAAACTATTTTAAAATTCCTATTCACTTGAAAATATTTTTTAAATATGTTAAAAATGTTGTTTTAAAGAAAGCTAAAATATAAGTAATTACTCTACAAACAAATGGACGAAACGGCAAAACGCGATTTCTTTGTGTCTCGTATTTTTAAAACTTATTCACTTAGATCAGATTAATTTAAATCATTATGCACCGGGTGGATGGACGCACTACACAAGCACACATGCAATCACAGACTTTTAGTATTAGATAGATAGATAGATAGATAGATAGATAGATAGATAGATAGATTAAATGCTGGTAAATTATATTAACATATATATTAGGATGTAACAAAAGAAGTTTCGTTTTTTATAGATCTTGACTGATAAGCTACCTATAACTACACTATTATTATTATTATTAT